TTGCCAATTATGACATATTGTCGGCAGTAAAAATGTACTAGACTATTTCACTATATTTCCTCTTCGAAGAAAGTTTTAAAATACTGATGTAAGGTGTCTTCCAAGCCCTACCACTAGCTTCAGCGTGCATAGCAACGCGAAACCTCGCTGTGCGGCGCGGCCAAAGGTGCCCTCAACAGGCCGCCATGTTTTAGTTTCAATTCCTCACAGCGAATCGGCGATCGCGAAGAGGGAGTTCCGCTTCTATAAGTGTAGAATTCTGTGCCTCCACCAAGAGTTCCCAGAAAGCTGAGCAGGTCCTGTGTCCGCCCTCCTTCCTTTACGTGACCCGATCGTGTCGATAGACAGTGGTAACTGTAACAACGTTAACCCCAAACCAACCGTAGACAAATCTTGTCAAACTCTGCGCCCCCCCCCCCTCACCTCCCCCAACAGGCGCTGAAGCACCAGTCCGCCTCAGTGGCGAGCCTGTAAGCCCGCGGAGTGATTTGATTGGTCCAGGGAAGCGGTTTAACGGGCCGCTGAAGTTGACCGGGTGACGGACAGTGGCCTTATAACGAGATTCCCACGAGATGAGGACATTCCGGAAACAGAGAGCACGGGTGAAAAAGCAGGCGAGAGTGAACACTAAAAAGGAAAGAAATTGAAGAAAAGAAACGAAACAAAGAATCAAGAGAAAGGAGTATACCGAGAGAAGCTTCAAGAACTGAGGGATTGAATTGAGGGAGGGAGGAGGAGGGGAAAGGTTGGGGAAAATTAGATTAGTGTGTTGTAAAAATATCAGAGGATGATGAAAGTGAAAGTGAACGAAAGAATGTTTGCGAGCGGGGGTGGGAGAGAGAGTGAGAGAGAGAGAGAGAGAGAGAGAGAGAGAGAGAGAGAGAGAGAGAGAGAGTGAGTATGAAAGAGGGGGAGGGGGAGATTTTGAAGGCTAGAGAGGTGAGCAGAGTAAGCCTGATTCCCTGTAAGGACTTCTCTGTTGACGTCCACCCTTTAGCGCTCATATGACCGTATGCAGTTGCGAGCGCCGTAAAACATTTCCTTAAAACAAAATAAAACAAGACATGGGGATGTTCATTCGTGGTACCTCAGTCCTTTCTGTGGTCAGTCTTCCTGGTCAGCCAGGCTTTTCTGCTTGTTTTGTTTGTCACAAAGGTCTTCAGGCCGTCTGTTTTGTTTTGTTTCGTTTTTGGGGGTTTTTTGTGACGTTTTTGGGTTTTTTGGTAAGTGTTTTGTCATAAGGTCATATGAGCGTGCAGGACACATTAAACTTCTTCAGTTGGTAGGAAATGTTGAATTTTACCCGGGTGGCGGCCGAAGCCTAACTCTTATTGATTTTTAGACCACCTTGTCTGAGAAGGCTAGGTGTAGATCTTTCCTTCCAGAAGATCAGGGGTGTGGCTGAAAGACAGCAGTTAGGAGGAGCCAAGGAGTAGCAGTAGAAAGACTGCAGGAAGAGTCCGGAGCCCAGAGGAGGGGGTAAAGAAGGTGAGAGGGTGGGGGCAGAAAGAGGAGACGAAAGCAGATGACAGAACATTGCTAGAGAGTAGGAAAAGAGGTGAAAGGAGACAATTTTAGAGAAGAAAATTTTTCGGTCGCTACCCGGATTCGAACCCGGG